CCTGTACTTTGGGCCTAGTGTGACTTTGACCTTCGAACTTTAAAATATGACAATTCAGTACCCAAACTTTTAAAACGTGACAATTCAGTACCTACCATTAGCTAGTTGATAACCAGACGTTAAGTGGCATTTGAAAAAGATACAATTGCCTTTCAAGTGTTATTTAATTTTCTTTATCAACCATCTAAATGTTGACAAAAAATTAACAGTCCCAAATCTTTGCCTTTAGACATTCTGGTGACTCCAACTTTCTTAAATAGAAGAGGCAATGATTTGAGGCTATTAGTTTTTTGTCAATGTTTGGATGATTGATAAAGAAAATTAGATGACACTAAAAGGGCTTTTGTGTCCTTTTTAAATGTCACTTAACAACTGATTAACAAATAGTTAACAGTAAGTACTAAATTGTCATATTTTAAAAGATCGAATACTGAATTGTCACATTTTAAAGTTTTGGGACCAAAGTGGCACTAGGCACAAAGTATAGGATATTAATTGAGAATTTTCCCTATTTTTTAAACTTGTATTGTTTTATTTGTATTTATACTTTTTCCAAATTGAGCCTATTAAATAATTTTATGATTTTAATTCATTCTCAATAAAAGTTATTGAAGGAACATGTTGAGCATGTAAAATAACGTGTGGAATGAGAGAAATCATGACAGTCCTTGATTGAGTTAAGCTAATTCTTTCACCTTTTGATCTTGTTTTGCAATCTTTCCTTAATAAAATAAAAAACTAGTTTTACAATCAATTAGGCTGCATTGATTTGGAGCATGCCAAATAATATAAGGGTAAATTTTTCCTGGTTTAGCTAATTGATTAAATGTATCCTAATATTTGAAAATTGACTTTCACTACCCTTATTGTTTATGACAACTGACTACTATTTTCCTTACGGCGAATGTCCGCTGAGATTAAAAGACTATTTTACCTTTATTCTTCTTCAAATTTTCAAAATAAAATAGGGGAAATGAGAAAGAAACGCTGGTTCATCAAAACCCAACGATCTCTGTCTCGTCTCCGCCTCCATCTCCCTTTCCCTTCCGTATTATCTATCACTCTTTCTTAAACCATAAAGTGGGATATAAGTTCTCTCTGCACTTGCCGGAGCAACCGCTCGGAAGAAATCGATGGACAAGTCCATCAGCTCTACACAGTCTGCTAAAGCTGCTTGCTCTCTTTGGTCTAATGGTGTATAGTGTACTTAACACGGATTTGACTTTCCTATGGGTGCCATTTAATGGCTTCCCTGTACCAGCAGCAGCAGCACAGTAAGGTGAATAGTCGCCTGGCATCCCAGTAAGGTGAATAATGGAAGAATGGCGCCATGTAGATGCGACGAGAGGGAGTGGAAGAATGGAAGAATGGCGCCATTTACTAGGTTGTCTTTGATTTCTGTACAGACGAGACGAGAGGGAGAGGGGGAGTGGAAGAATGGCGCCATTTACTGGGATGTCTTCGATTTCTGCACAGACGAGACGAGAGGGAAAGGGGGAGTGGGGGAGCAGTTGAAGGAAAGAGAGAGCAAGGCAGCCAAGCAAGGGAAACAGTTGCCATGCGAGAGTTTTTAAACCTGAGTACTACCTCTCGTACTTCCTACGTGGCAGTTCTCGTGCTTCCCTCGTGCTGATACAAATCCAGATGTGCACAGTTGCCATGCGAGAGTCTTCAAACTCAAACAGTGGTGCCGGTGCCGGAGACTCCCCTTCTCCCCCTTGAGCCGATATCGGTGAGTGGCTCAACCCTATGAGGGTATTTTAAGGCATACTTGAAGGACATGATGGGATTTTCGAAAGGGCATTTTTGAACATAAAAGGGTAACTTTGGAATTTTTCAAAATTATAACAGTCACGTGATGGCACATTTGAAGGTCTTATGGCAAGCGAAGATTTAGACAAATGTTAGAAATATGGGGGTAGAGACAGTCAATTTACAAACAGTAGGGGTACACTTAGTCAATTAACTAAACCATAAGGGTAGTTTAAGAAATTTACCCATAATATAATGTTAATCCATCAAAAGAATAATATAATGTTTATACTAAATAAACATGATTTATGATCATGAGATGTAAACTTTAAAATTTTATTCTAGAAAAATCTATGCTACTGGGAAAACGTTGTAGGTACATGTTGATCACCACAAAGGTACCCATGCCACAAAGGTACCCATGACGAGTTCAGGACTCAGTACAGACCTGCGATGATCTCTGAGTCTGCAGAAGCTTGCGATGAAATCAGAGCCTAAAACGAGCTTGTGATGAGTTCAAGGCCACTATGGGCCTACAATAAACCCAAAGCCACAATATCAAAGACAAACTCAAAGCCATTGCAAGCATATGATGAGCTCAGAGCCATCGCGAACCTATGATGCGCTCTAGTTCATCACAGGTCAGAGACGAGCAAAAAAAACGCGTGCTTCACCGACGCCGTGCGTGACAAAATGCCCATTAAGATTAGATAAAACACATAAGATTAATATTGACATCATCTGTGCCACGTCAACGTAATAGATTCGCAAAAGGAAGTAACCCACGTGTATTATGAGAATCCTCAAACGAAAGGAAACCTCGTTCTTGACATATCTCATAAGACATGTGACGAAACCCTAGCAGTGTTCCCTGACAAATAACACCAAATCAAATATTCCCTTCTATAGGGAGAATCAAACACTTTTAGCTCCTTCCTTTTAGGACCTCAAGATCTCTCCCTATAAAAGGAGGCCTGATTCATAACAAGAACATCATTCTATCATTCTGTCAACCATAACTTTTAACCTATCATTTGCCCTCAGCCTTCCTTCGTCCTTCAAAGAGACCCTCGTACATAGCCTTATCACACCACTCACGTGATATTAAAAAAGCTTTGACCAATCAAAACTCTCTTGAATTTGACAAATAACACCTGATTAATTATCACTTTTGTAATGGCGAAATCACATCTGCCCCCACTAAATGCGCCATAAAAATGTCCCACAGCACATCCCAACCGTCTATCGGAAACATTTCTTAATGACAAATGTGAGAAATGTCCTCAAATGCACGCTGAGATGTGCATGTGAGGCATTTTTGGGGCGCATTCTGTGGGGGTAGATATGAACTCCGCTATAACACCGGTTGATTGATTGCTTGTCTTTTCGGTATCATAGTGGAACCCTTTTATTTTTAAACTATTTAAGCCCTCCATTAGCATTTGGCAATGTAGCTGCAAATAAAATGTTTCTATGTATGGTTAACTTATTTGGCTTTTAAAACCGTACAAGTGAACCGGTGAGAGCATCTCTTTCAGATTTTGGTAAATATAATAGTATAATGCAATATTCTATACCCTGTTTCAATTCCATTTAGTCCTAATTTTAAGCAATAGCATGGTTTGTTTGCCTCACGAACCAAGCTTACGTTTAAGAATTAGCGCTCATCTTCACACTTTTGCTTGAGCTTTGGTTCTTATGGTTTATTGGAACCAAACGTGAAATAGAGGAATTAGCTCACTCTTTTTGAAAACTAGTCATACCAGAAAAGTAGATGAAAAGAAAACCAAAGACTCAGTAAATTTTTCAAGTTGGGTATAATGCTAATCCAAGCCCAACCCAAAGAATTGGACCAATGGACTAAGCCCGAAGTCAAGTCCAGTTTTTCTAAATCTGGCCCAGCCTATACTGAATTTTGACATGCATGTGTTATGAATGTGCCTATATATATATATATATATTTATGAATGTATATGGTCAAACTGGGCCCAGGTTGAACTAAAATTCAGTTGGGCTGTATCCTGGCACAAGCTATGTAAGGGCGAGGCCCATGTCCAGACTGAAAAATAAGAAAGCTCAAAGCTTTGGGTCAGGTCTAACTTGGGGATCAAAAATTTAAACCTAACCTATGTAAAATTATGGGCTAAATATAAATTGGTCCAAACTTGAATTGGGGGGCCTCCTAAATTCCACCCCCTGCATTTTATTATTTGTGCCACACCCCCTATATTTCATGGTGCAATTAAAATTTAACTTTCCTAAAATTGTAAATCTCCTTGCTCATAAGATAGCTCAACAAGCTAAATCTTTTTCTATGGTCAACTGGTTTGGTGGTGTTATCCACCTCATTGGTTAGAAGTTAGAACCTTTTTGTATCTTTTGCTTCGTAGTAGTTTTTTTTTTCGAGTTATCAAAAATAAAATAAAATTTAACTTTCAAGGCTTAAGCTTTACAAAAGTAAAGATTGGTGGCTGGATCCTGATATGTTTGTATTTAATTATTTCGTTGGGCCTATGACCGTCCCGTCAAAGAATAAATATAAATCCATTTATTTATAGGCTATATGACCATTAAAATATATACAACTAAAGGCTGAGAAGGACTTTCTGAGGTCCCGACATGGCATGAATCGTGCCGTGCCAGAGATGAATGTCATGAAAACTGCGGGAATGCCGATCCTTTGACTTGAGAGAGGAAATGTAATAAAGCTTGACTCGCTCCTTTTTAGGTATTTTTCAATTAGCGAGTTATTTGGGCACATCACATCTTTCTTAAAGGGGGCACACCACTAAATCACTAATTTCATCTTTAACTTTTTACTCTAAGCAACTCTATTTCTTCATTAAAGGATATGTATTAAATTTATTGAACCCAAAAAAAAATGAAATGTGCTCTAATCACTTCCCTTATAGGCATACAAGTTGATTGTTTTTATTTAAAAAATAATGAAAAAGAAAATAGACGTCAGTATCGTGTATTAGAAGCTTCAAGCTAGATCACCCAAAAACAAATGATGATGCGATACCCCCAGTCGAGCATTATCTCTTATAGGACCAATCAAATGATGGGTCCCGCTCTACTGATACCATTTTGTATGGTATGATTGGACGGATGGGATTTTAAGTTAAAACTATATATAATTGTATCAATACATCTAGGTTTTCGCTTTTCATTGCATCATAATAATATCTAACATCGTTGACCAGCAATTATAAATAACCTGTGTACTATCAGAAGAAGGCGAAGCTGTTGTTGTACTAGTACTACCACAAGGTTGAAGCCTGGGCGTACGAAACCAATCATCCATCATCTTCAACCTCTACTATATAGTTGCCTTGGTTTCCAGGTTACAGGCCATAAGAAGAGAAAGAAGAGAGAGGAGAAGAGCAGACAAACAGAGCAGCGGCGCTAATCGGGATGGATCACGATCATCAAATGAGTGGTAATTCGGGCATGTCCACCACCAAGAGATATACCCACATGACCTTCTTCTGGGGCAAGAACTCGGAAATTCTGTTTACGCAATGGCCTGGCACCAGAACCGGCATGTACGTGCTGGCCTTGATCATTCTCTTTGTACTCACCTTTCTCATGGAGTGGCTCTCTCATTGCCGCTTAATCAAGTCCCGTTCCAACAGCGTCGCTGCCGGGTTATTGCGAACGGTTCTGCACACTCTCCACGTCGGATTGGCTTATCTGGTCATGCTGGCTCTCATGTCCTTCAATGTTGGTGTCTTGATCGTCGCTATCGCCGGCCATGCTGCCGGCTTCTTTGTCTTCGGTAGTCGCATATTTAAGCGTGGGGAGAAGTCGGGAGAGGAATCAGACCTTGGTCCTCCCTTGAAGTGCTAATTCATACGATGCACACCGGCTTTGTTAAGCGAATGATTGATTGTATGTATAATAGATGTTTAGCTTTTACAATCTCTGTTGGTACTTGGTTGAGTACTTTTGAGGCATCCTGGTTGAATCTTGATTGTATGTAAACTTAACTATTGAACATTTGTGGTTGCATCATATTGTCATGCAGTAAATAGAGTTTAATTTATATGGTATTTGAATAGTCACTTTTTTTTGTTTATTGAACAAGAAACTTCATTTCTTCATTACTTCAGAACGAATGAAATTACAGAGGTTATATATTGCATCCATACAGATCTGCCGTGTCCTTTTTCAGGGCCGACGATGGCGGCGAGGTTGTTGCTTATAACAGGCCGTAGCAGATCGATTAGTAAATGCATTCTCAATTTGAGCATTTAGTATCCAGGCCCACAAAAGAAAGAGGACAATACAAGGATTTACTAGGAAAAATAAAGAATAAAGAAAAAAAAAAAAAAAAGAAAGAGTCGTTGAAAAGGAGAGGGGGGTTGTTTAGGTTCTACTTTTCAACAAGAGAAAAGAACATTCCACCATTTTTTTAGAAGTAAGATTCTACCATCAACCAGCAAGCCCCAAACGTCTCTCCAAATTGTAAAAAATATTAGATCTCAAATCTAGAGAGGACGAAAAAGAAATTAACCTAGAACCACAGATACAACACCACCTATTTTTCTCCATCCACTCATCTTACTTTATAGGATTAGGGACACGTACGGGAAAAAAACTTTGGGTAGAGAGACTCATATATATTAAGAATCAGGGCCCACCAATGGATGAGTTCCAACCAAAATTAGGCTTTGTACAAGTGCACATCCTGAACATCTATCTTGTGGGTAGAGAGACTCCTAATCACCTTTACCCAAAAAAAAAAAAAAAAACTCTAATCACCACCTTTAATTTAATTTTAGGGTAAAATACAAAAATCTTCCCAAAGTTTTTACTAATCATAAAAATCTCCCTTATAATATAATTTTAACAAAAGACAAAAATCTCCCTTCCGTCAATAACCCAGATGAAAAATATCACTATTTACGAAATTACTCATCCACATTTACGAAATTGCCCTTATCACACACCCAAATCCAGGGAAAATCGACGCTTGTTTGTATCACACACCCAAATCCTTTGCGCCTTCTTTCTTTTCTTCGAGTAACATTAGAACATCATCAATCTCTGAACACGGTAATAAACCAATGTGATTGACAACGCTATTAACATTCCAAGCATCAACGTTGAACAACATCAATTTCTGAACACGGTAAATTAACAACATATCAAATCTGAACTTAGCTCTTTATTGCCAGATGAACGGTATACTCTTTGGCGAAGACGAAAGGGACGATCCCTTGAGGGAGCTCGACATGTAAAATTGCGATGTGGAGGAGATGGCCTCGTAATCCAATAGCAATGAAAGCCGCAACCATTACTGTTGGGCCCGTTAGAAAACGCATGACCATGATGAACGCTGCAACCAAGTTCCCACATGCCGGAGCACCATAACTAAACCGGTGCAGTTTCAGTCATGGATACTTTCTTCCGATAACTGAATCGGTGCATTTTCAGTCATGGAGCCGACCACACAAAGACCAGGAGGACCACAAGAAACGTGATCATTGGTCCCACATATCGGTCAATGGACCTGGGATAATTGACATACCTCTTAATTTACCAGAAATGTCACAGGCTATTACCATCCAACGTCGCTTGCAGTAAATGACTAATCCCATCAAGCCTCAGTCAGCTCTCTGCTCAATCCTCTTGTGGCTAGAGAAGATCATTAACCATGGCCCACAAATTGGATGGCCATGTTCTCTTTGCCATTTTCAAATGGCTGAGAAACCAACGTTTGAGCACAGGGGACCGTTAATAAGTTATTAACGCCGGTCATTCGTATCCGGTAGGCTGACTCTAACACTATAATATAACTAACTGTCTATACAAAAGTATATACACATTCAGTTTCATTGACTGAACTCACCTAACCAGAACATGGCCATTAGACCGGCGTCAGAGAGTATGGAGATTGATCCCTTTATTATTTGCAACATAGACACGTCCCACTTGCATTAATGAAAAAGAAGGTACTCCATAAGCTAAAAATTCAAGGGAGAAGTACCAACAAGCATAACGACAAATAGTTAGATAATGGATGCTTCATGGGAAAAATCAGTTTTTCTTCGCCCGAGAAGCTCACCGGAAGGAAATGAAGGACCAAATAACACCGAGGAGGCTGAATACGTGTTTGCACCATGCTACTTTACAAAATGGGCTAATTTTGTAAGTACAAACGTTGTTTGTTTGGGTTACTGACGGAAGAGAGGTTTTTGTCCAATTTTTTAAAAATTTAGGGGAGGTTTTTGTTAAAATAAAACTATAGGATAGATTTTTATAATTGTCAGAAACTTCAGGGAAAGATTTTGTATTTTACCCTTAATTTTATTGTTGATTGATATTAAGACTTAGTTTGGAAAGAGTACAAATATAAATATGTATCCCGGGTTGTGCCACCCTCTTTAGGGATAATTTGAAGGGTCGGCGACCCATGGCTCAAGCCCATGAAGGCACGTGCTGTGCTGTGGACCTGGGCTAGGTGGGCTGAGGCCTCTACAATCCTCTACCGCCAAGCTCCAAGACAAATCAGGCCTTTGGAGACATCTTCAAGCCTCTAGAAAGACCAGAACCAAAAAATCCACCCAAAGAGAAAAGCATCCTAAACAGGACAAAAGTACTATTCTAACTCAGCACACCAAAACTAACATATTACAAGAGGAGGGCATACAAAGCCTGAGTTAACCAACTGAAACACAAGATTTAGAAAATCTAGACTGAGATTAAGGCTAGAAATCGTGCTTCCCCAGCAGATCTACGAATAGGCTACAAATCTTCTTTCTACCTTGCCTACCTCTTCCTCTTACACTTCTCACACTCCTATTACCTTTCAAGCCACTAGATAGATTTATTACTGATGGAGGGTGATTTGGCCTGACCTCATAATAGGGGGACACATGGACATGAATCGATATAAGTGATAACTCAGCATAACGAGCTTGGTACAACCCAATCGGACAACTCGCGGCAAGATGATACTTCGACGACCCGAACTAAGACTCCCAAGTAGGGAGCATCCCGAGTTGAAAACACCTCAGGTTAAGCTTGTCAGCCCCCTAACTAGGATCAGCTCGCTCCCGCCTAAACTTAAGCTACTTAAGAGATTCGCCTCGGAAAAACACCTCAACGCATCACCAGTAGCTCGGTGTAAGGTAGCTCGCGGAAGAGCAGCTCGGCGTATCGTAGGAGATTCGTCGCCTGACGACCGTACCTACCAGACTGCACCCACATCTCCCACATGGCGGCGTCTGGCAGGACCGTACTCTACAGCGGTTGCCTTTACCCGACAGCACAGCTCTGACAGATAACGGCCAGCCACGCCAAGCCGTTATCTGACAGCAGATCGCCGCAGCAGGGATTCAGAGGTGGTTACACCTGATATGTCAGAAGACCACCATATAAGGACTCAGACCCCCAAGAAAGAGGGGGCACGTGATCCTCACTCTTAGCCCTCTTATTTTCTCTACAACTCTCTTCTTCTCCCAGCTTTCAACTCGAGTACTAACTTAAGCATCAAAGTATTCCTGCCGGGAAAGCTTCCTAGGAATCCCTCTTCTTCTTCACAGGTATCTCGTCCGTCACCAGCTAGGAGCGTAGCCGCCGCCAGTTAGGAGCGACCGGATCGCGCACCATCAATTACCTTTAGAACAAACCCAAGTATTTTGACTTTCTTCTACCTAGGAGGTAATCCAAACTACCGAGTGACCAATCCGAGCTATAGCTCAAGGATTCGGTCACATCTTCGGCAATAGAGCTGTCTACCGTGGTTGGGTGATTCAATTGGGCCGCATTGATACCTTTGGTCCTGAACCACTCATGAATCTGGACTTCCAGCACTAACGACACCCCAAGCAAATTTCCAAGACACATAAACTTTTCAACCTGACTATTGCCTCTCCTGGGTGTTGGGGATCCATCCACCAAATCCAAAAAAAAGAAGAGTTTCCTCCAAAGGATTCAGTTGTGATTGAAGCTCAGGGACTTCCATTTGAGGTAATGGAAGATCAGGCAAAAGTCTCACTCTTTGTGGGCTCAAGAATGGGCTTGAATCTGCTTCAAACGGTGCACAGTGGAACCATCCTCCTTGCATCACTAACACGTGGGCTTAGGCCTGATGACAAGTGCAAGCCATTAAGCTTCTTATGGGCCACATCTGAATAACTTGAAGTAGGAGGCCCTTTAAAATGATGGGCTTGGGAATAAGATGATGGGCCCACCTGGCCTCTCTATGCGTGCTTGTTCACCAGGACGAAGCAACATTCAAAATTTGAGTTGCCCACCATCATCAGTGTCTTTAGTGGGAAAGCAACTGATAGAGGAACGATTTGGAGGGTTAATTTTGATGGGCTTTCCAGGAGATTACCAACGGTCGAGGATACAACCCCTTCCCCGTCCTCCGGTTGGAACTCTGGTGGATCCTCTTCCTTACACTTTTTGCGACGCCTTGGATGTTTAGGACCTCTATTTTCCTTCGAAATAGGTGATAGTCTTTGGGCACCTCTATTTACCGCCAGTGCTGGTCGATCGGAGCAGCGATCCCCAATGACTGAGAATTGAAAAAGCCGCCTCTCCTTGCCGCAGATTGCATCTTCTCTTCACAATTCACCATTTAAAGAGTCTGAAACAGAGTTCCGCTTCCATGTTCTACTATCACCATCTTCGACTGCAAGGCGGAGCCCAGTATTTCTAAACCAATAAATTTTGGAACGCCATGGACTGACCTGCTCTAAATTAGTAAACGAAGTGAATCAAGCTTCCTCCAGGACAGGTTGCTCGGATCCGCTTTGATGAAACCACTCGCTGCATCACCTATTTCCTTGAAGACTGCAGGACACCAAGCATGGAGAGGTACTCCAAAGAAAAACTAAAATATTTCATTTAACTTTTCATTTGGTAAGTAAAACTAAAATATTTAACTTTCATTGGGAACTATTTAAAAAAATAAGAAATCTAACAAAGAAATGAAAAAAATTACTTAATCAAATAAGAAGTCAAAGAGACAAAGACTCAAACTGAAAAACAAATTGGAAGAAAAATGAGAGTTTTATTTCATTTAAATTTGAATAATACAAAGCATACAATGGTTGGATGAATGAAATATGAATATTGGAAAATAAAATATAAAAAATACAATATAGTTACAAATTGAAAATAAAAAAAAATACGTTATTAAAAAATACCAAATAAATTAAATAAAAATAAGACAAATTTTACAACAATTTGAAAAAATGCTATACAACTATTGAGTATACAAAAAATATTGATTTCACCATTTTCTCATATTGTTCTTGACTTTGATCTTTGTAGAAATTGAAAATGGTGGAGGATAGGGCTATTTATAGGAATTGTTGAATTGGTGTGATGCAAATGGTGGAGAGCAGGGTTATTTATAGGATTTGAAAATAATTCAATTATCCAAATACACTAAAAACTAATTGTTTTTTAGTTGTTGAAAGGGGTATTTTGGTTATTATAAAGTTATTTATCACTTTACCCAAAATGCCCCCCCTCCAAATTAACTATAAAAAACCCCCAAAAAGCTAAAACTAGTCGTTGGGGACCCCCCCAACAGCTAGTTCACTGAGCAGGCCAAGCACGACCCACTATGGGCCCATTGGCAGTGCCACATGTTGTGCCGGCCCGTGGACCTGGAATCCCAGGCCCAGCACGGCCCGTGTATCATCGTGCCGGGCCAGGCCATGAGCAGCATAGCCCAATTTACACCTCTAAATATATACATTATACAGTGCAAAACCTTATGTAGGGCATTTCTAAACCTTGTATTGGCATGGTACATACTTGGACTCTTTCCAAACTAAACCTAAGAAAGAGTACAAATAGACATGTATACAACACACATACATACAAAATATGAAAATAATACGTTTTACACTTCTGATGTTTGTATTTGTACTCCCTCCTTCCAAACCGGACCTAAAAGTGAAACTAGGATGAGCAATTGCTTAAATTGGAACCCAGGCCAATGGGCCTAGGACCAATGCAGATGCAGCCCTTCATCCTTCACTCACTCACTCAGTTGTGAAGGAAATTTTAAACGTGACCTTTGCAGAAACACATTAATATCGATTACTTACAACCAACAGAATAGAATAGAAATCCACCATGATTTTTAATTGTTAGGGACCTATTTCTCCATCTCGGAAATCAGAATCAAACGGCTTGCATGCGCTGACAAGAGAATAAAAAGTTTGCCCCGGTTGATAATAGCCTTGCTTTTGCATTAATTAATTAGGAAGAGGAGGTGAAGGTCTAGTTTGGAAGCAATGGACTAATGTAACAGAGACAACAAACAATTAATGGCTTAATGTGTTGTGTCTCTACAATATAATTTACATTATCGAACAGGCATTGGGATTCTCGTCGCTGAACATGGTGAAAACTATACTCTGTCCCCAATCATCAAACACCAGTGAAGCCTCTATTGTGCTATCCCCTGAATCCAAATCGTCCCCGCTTGAAGCTGCAGTCTTATCATCTATCACAATCGTCTCTACTCTCTTCCCGGTATTCTTCCCAAGTTTTTTCAAAATCTTTTCGGGATTGATTCGGCCCGTTACAGTAACTTTGTTTCTCGTCATGTCTGTTGAGAACTTCTCCACCCTTATAAAAGTTGTAAACTGCAAACTTATTTGGATTTAGAAGGACAGAAGATTGAAAGGGGGTTCAAAGACAATACCTTTGAATCTGGATATGGCTTCCGCAACGGTTCTTTCACAGACATTGCAGTGCATGGAGACTTTGAATTCTGCAATCACCACCTATTAAGAATATATAGTATAGGTCTTAGATTTGCACCTGTAGGTGGCCCACGTATGCATCTCTGTATGAGAGAGAGAGAGACTTACTTTGTCTGTGCGATTTTTCACATCGGCCATTGAAACTGCAAGCAAATTGCACCGAACAAGTGATTTTCATGAAATGGTTGTGGCAATTACTGAGGAAACAATGATGATCAACAAATAACCAAATTGCAAATCCAATTCCGACGAACCTTTGGACCAAACCAACTTTTGAAAACAAAGGTTTCTATTTCGAACCGTCACTTTTAAAGGGTGGCGTCAAATAAACAGGATGGGAATCGACACAATAACACAACCGCTCCCCACCTTGTATTATAGTCCCTCTGACCCAATCGTATGGTTAGGAAACTTTTCCCATTTGCAATCGTTCTTATGGCTGCGTTTGGTTGAAGTACAACTTTATTTGCACTAGTACAAATGAAAAAAAAATGTAAATTCTCATTTAATTTTGTTTTAGATTTTACTTTATTCAGATTCATGTCTTGATTTACTTCATTTGTACGGTAATCAAACAAAATAAGATAAAAATTGAAACAAAAATAGGTCAGAATATGCACTGCCATGATTTTCTATCAATACAAATTTATTTGCATTGCAGCCACACACAGCCTATGGAATCATTTGGTTTACCCCATCATTATACATTTGAGCATCATCCATGGACTTGCGTCAGTGCCTCAAGCAGAAGTTTTTTTGTTTGGTGTTTTGGGCTTCAAATGCACTTGGGTTGGGCAACATCTTTAGGGTTTGAGATTGAGTCCTCGACTGCTCCTCAGTCTGAGGCCAGCTGCTTTCCATGCATACTGGGCCTAAGAAGAGGTCTTTGTCCTTGGACTAGGCCCACGGTGCATTTGAGATCGTTGTATTAACTACAAGATCGACTTAGGATAATGCAAGGAAGAGACCTCTTTAGAGCAATAGGAATTTAGAACATTGCCCCCATTCATGAAGTCCTGTGTTTTTTAAGCTCACCCCATTCAACAAGACAACAAGTCAATGTACATAATAAAGCAACCCTCAAAATATACTCTTTAATTAAGACATGCACAACCTCTACGAGTCTACGTACATAAAAAGAATGTGGCGCTGCGGTTATTCTCCTCAGACACGAATGGCCACTTAATTTAATTTGATGCCAAGTTAAATGGTTCCCTTTCACTTCAGTTTTGGATGGTATGCGCAAGGTTTTAAAACGTCATCTATCCGGACGGTTGGACTGTTTAGTTCAGAAACCGTCCAAGTTATTTTTCCAAAGATTGTTGATGATTTGATTTTTAACAATCTATTCATCCGGATGGTTAAACCATCTGGACAATGATTTTTGGACCTTTTTCACTTCAGTTTTTAACAATGATTTTTGCACAGGAAATAGGTTATAACTTATAAGGCGGTGTGCCTCATAACCATATTCATTAATTCGCTCACCATTACGATGTTGTAAGATAGCAGGCTCTAAAAAAGATGGAATACAGACCACGTATGCATGTGGTTAATAGTTAGGGCATGTTTGGCCAAAATATGAGTGGTTATATTAATAATTTATCGGTACATGCAACCCAATTTACTAAGCATACGAAAGGGCCCAAATTATAGAATTTTCCTCAAGAATGATGGAAGAGAGCCCCAATTCTAAAGCAAACGAAAGAGTTGCATGAGCAATTTTAGCTTCTAATTCTTCTGGGGAAGTTTTTAGAACTTTAATGGATCTGCCATAGATAAAAGCCCATGAGTGATCATAGATCACAACACCTAAACCCCCATCAAAGTTGATTTCATACATAAGAGGGATAGTTTTCTGCCAAAAATGGGAGGAGCCATCCAACCTTGAATTGGTAGTATTAGAAACATCCACATTAATTGGCATAGAGCATCGAATCTCCTCTACTTGGAACTAGGCCTTGAAAATAACTATCAAAGGTTCAAAAGGCTGATTTTCCATGATTGTTTTACATCTGAATTTCCATATATGCCACATGAAAATGCTTCCAATAGTAAAATATGATTCCGTGTTGGTTTTTAAAACATCAAGTATGTTACATTTTGAGCCCTGAAGTTGTTAAGCAAGTAAGGCTCAGTTTGAAAACAGTATAAATGCAAATATATACAGTATAAGTATAAATACATACAAAATAATACAAAATATAAGGTTTTGCACTCTACATATTTGCATTTGTACTCCTTCCAAACTCAACCTAAAGGGTAAATAAGTATGATGCTGAAGAGGTATGATATTAGAAAACCTTTGACCAATCAAAACCCCCGATTTTGAAGAATACCACTTCATTGGTTATAAATAAATTGTTGAAAGTTGATGATCTAGTTAAAAAAAAAACATCTAAACCAGATAAATATAATTACCGAAAATGTAAAATAGATTTATTGATCACAGAACAATGAGCTAGAATAGGGATAGCATTTTCTTTTTCCAGTTACCTGGTCTCCTGGAAACGGAGGGGAAGAGATGACAATGGGGAAATTTCCAACACCAATGATGGGGGTGAGGTGGGGACGAAGAGAGCACTCCCTACCTTGCAGGGATCCCTATGGGAACAGGGGTGGGCACAACCCTCTCCCGTTACTATTTAGGGGTGCAAGTCAAGTTAGCCCAACTTAATAATTTATACTGTTTTTGGTTCGGGCTGCTCCCCTATTACTAAGGATGGGAATGGAACAATAATGGGGATTTTCACAAGGATGAGGAGTGACTTCCCATCGCATCTTCACCCTGCCCCATTGGCATTCCTAAACTAGAATCATGATGAATTCACCATCAAAGGTTACGTTATGTAGATTAGTTTATTGACAAATTAAAGTTAAGAGCTTTTAAATGGATAAAAATATGGAACAATATGATTTTTATTTTGAACAAAACTGCATGCACCTATGGTATGTGAACTGTACCATGAAGCAAGAAACTTAAACCAATACTAAAGTCATATAAATTTTTTAACTTTGTTAAAGCTTTTAGTTGTAAGTATACCTCTTGAAACATGAAGTCATGCTTTATAAAATGTGAAACAATGATAAATAAATCAGAGAAGTGCGGACAGGCCCATTGCATATTTCTGAGTCCCATTGCAGAACTATAAACATTCAAAATGCCAAATACCCCCATTCTATACATCAATGTCCGCCTGTGAATTAGCATCAATTCCAAACTGACAAATGTACTTTGGCCTAAAAACTTTGACCCTGGACTGAACCTTCATTCTCCCTAAATAAATAGGCCATATAATGCCTTTTAATGCCTTTTAATGTAATAGATTGATATATTGATTTAACAAGCAATAAATATTAGAATTACACCATACATTATTCAATTCAGCCACGAACACCATATCTGAAATATATCTGGTGGATTTTTTTGCTCGAATTGTCAAATATGGCTGCACATAAATTTGCTACTACTTGTACAAGAGTTAAAACTTGGTTTCAAATGCCTGATTCCTTCTCAATATTATTGTATAAGAGATGTAAACCGAGTTTGTTGATGAATGATTTTGCCCCAAGGGGCCTTATAAAAATTAAAAAAAAAAAATCATTAATTTGGAAACCAGTGAATTCAAGGTAGATATGTTAGTTCTCACTTGGAATATAAGAAAACGGTACAAACTTTCATATAGTACAAAGTACAAACTAAGGATGCTTGAACTTGAAGCGCTAAAATAGATAGAGGTAGAATCAAACAAATATAGATAAACTATAACAGTTAGGGAATAGTTTGTACTGGATTTTTCCTTTTTGTTTAATTCTATTAATTATATTGTTAAAGGAATACCGTATGCCTATATAAATGATTTTTTAACTTATAACTATTTTTTTAGTGAAAAGAATAAAACGAATAACAATAATGAGGAATATAAAGCTATAAAGGTAATTAAGTAAAACAAATTGTAATTAAAATAATAATATTTATAATTGATGACCACTAGATTAATGATTTAATTCTTTATTATTAGTCGCTAGAAGCTAAACAAAGGTGTGTGTGCAAGGCAACATTTGTTCAGCTTTAGCCTTGTTAACGTGAGGGCAGATGGTAGCCAGCCCAAAGTGCGTCATTTGTGAAGCAACAGTTTCAGGCTCGTGAGGGTTGTTGTGGGTAGAAGAAGGGCTTCAAGCAATCCAAGCGGCCCTATTTGTGAAGCTACAGTAGGAATTGGCCGTATCTACAAAATCCAGGCCCATGTCAAAGCTAATAGGCCACTTGTATTGGACTGTTCCCTCACGGACAAATGCCTCAGACCCTCAGCCTTCAATAAAATGGGGTTGAAATTTAATTAGGCCTTTCATTCTCAACCACACAGTCCAAAGAATGACTCAAAGAAATGATTGCAGTTAAAGGCTTAAAGCACGCTACAGAGGGAGTGGGAGTGGGAGTGGGTAACACACTTGTGGTGTACAATCAAGATGGGTGGCCCACTAAGCCAAATTATGGGCCGCTGGATTGTTGGACCTATACTAACTAATTAAGAAAGCCTAGTAAAGAGAGAGAGAGAGAGTAGGGGTATTTGATTGCTGGTAGGCATGTTTTCTTGCCAAAGGGCTGGGTTTACCACTATCAGTTATTCAGTTTACGTATATCTATGCATGGTTTTTAAAATCGAATCGGTCAAGGATCTGGTTATCAGTTTGAACGGTCCGACCATTCGACCTGAACGGGCAGTCCGTTCTAACAAAAAAAATAAAATTTTGAAAAACGGTTAAAATTGTTCAGACGGTTCGAACAATTAACCGGCCAGTTCAATAATTTACTGACCAAAATCAATGATGGACGTCATGATGGGGTCTCAAAATCTCAAATAAGCATTAGTAAAATAAATTAAGCTATTGAATTTGAAGCAACCAAAACAATAAATAAAAGATTTATTACACAAATTAAGACAAACTAAAATGATATATTATATGATGATTAGATGACCATTAATCATCAGACGTAAACAAGAGCGTGCGTTAGATGACTATTAATTTTATATATATAATATATAATAAAGCATTTCTATTCATAATTAAAATTTTGGTTGGTTTTGGTGAACAACTGAACGTGTCGTGGCTTTGGTATATTTCATTTGTATATT